ATTACACAAATATATATTACAGAAATAGATTTAAAATAAGTAGCAGTGGTATTATGCCAATTTTTTTTTACAGAGGGGTCCATATAATTTGTAATCGTAATCACTATCGCCCATTCTGTAAGAATACTACTACTCTCATCGTGAAGACGTTGTTGGCCTTGTCAAAATTTCCCCACCACTACGCAGTTTGATCATAAGTAAATTTAAATAGAGGTGCCACATCAGTTGTATTTGTTTCTGTATTGTAATTTTTTAAAAAACTAATCACACGATTCAAACTATATATATATAAAGTAATTATGTGTGAAGTTTTATGTATACATTTTCTTATTCAATTATTCGTAAGCAAACACATTATACAGTTGCCTTAAACTTAACACCCTCTTGCCAAGTGGTACAACCGTAGAGGTTTTTTAAACATTGCAATGCATCGTAATGGGTTTTTTTAGAATGGCAAACTGATGCAGCTGTTAATACGTGTTTGTAAACGTAGACACTACTAGACTAGTACAATAATGCTTAATTGCTGCATGAAAAGAAATCTTGTGATTTACATAGATGTGCCGACCAAAATATTTTTTTAACAAATATCATTGTTTAAAACTTTGAGTTTAAAAAGTTTCCAAAAAGGCGCCACTTTGCTGAAAATGGCCAGAGGGGGAGCGGGCCCGCTCCCCCTGCTCCCCTCCTGCGTACGCTACTGATATATATATATATATAGCCTATATGGGGGCATCTTCCGCTTGATTTTGCCCCGGGCATCTACATAGGTCTGCACGCCACTGCCTATAGGCTAATATATATAGATCTTTACGCCACTGACTATAGTAAACTATAAAATATAAAAAAAATATTAAAATAGGCTTATAATTTTTTTTTATTACTTCTTATCATACTTATATTAATATTTTATTAGATGTAGATTAGATCTAAATCCTATACTAGATCTATAAATTTAGATCTACTAGATGTCTAGATCTACATCTCTTGCCTAAGACCTACGAACACTGAAATTGTAGGCCAAAAAAATATAGATCTAGCCAGTGTAGTAACAGTGGGCTAGAATCATGTCTCTAGTCTAGGGCTAGGCCTAACTAAATCTACTGTTGTCTGAAATAATACTTGAATACAGTCAAAACATGATGCCCAATTTACTTTCCTGGTTGCATTTTTAAAATTGTTTTATACCGACCTAAATTTGCCGATTAGGCCAGCAAACAGATATTAACATAGGTATCTAGACTAGATATAGTCTAGAAATAATGTACAAAATAGAAAAATGGCCTATTCTTTCATCTTTTCGGGTCAAGGACTAGGTTAGCGGAAATACAGGACATTTTCCCATACACCTCCACGCTTCCTTTTTACGGTCGGCTCTGCAAAATGGTAAACGCGTGTTTCTTCTCCTGCACATTTTAAATAATTATAATGATTGAACTTCACTGTATAGATTATATTTGAGTCCTAATAACGATAGAACTTAGAGTCTATATACTAGATCGATATATTATAAACTAAAGTTATGAAATAGGAATAAACAACTTTTTAAAAATTCAAATTTTATTAGAATAGACTTACCAGTTCTCGATAGTAGGGATTTTGGTAAAAAAAACACTAATCATCATATAAAAATAAAAATTACATATTCTTGTAGAGCTCAACTATATGAAAACAAAACAAAAAAGATTTTCTGTCTAGCTCAAATAGTTTTTTTTTAGCGAATTTTTTTGTGAGGGGTGTAATGCCCTTGCTTTTGCATTGGCCAATTGTGACAAGTCATGGTATACCTGAATAAATTGAGCATAGTTATTTTACTTGCAGTTGTATTTTGTTCATATTTGCAGAGTTGAGCTAGAATGATATATAGAACTTGTATATGCTGTTGAAATAAATAAAAATAATACAGAAGTATATTTTTGTGTTGGCTTCCTTCCATAACCCCAAAAAAAACTGTGCTGCGCAAATATTGAAAATGTTTCTAAAGCAATGTTTTACAGTGAATGAAAGAACTACAAAGTTAGCAATCTAAAGTAAATGACTTGAACACTGAAATGTGCATATAACTGCATATAACTGCCCCATTATTTTGGGCAGGTGAAGTAGAGTCCATCTTTAAGACATTTTGTTATAAAACTGTGCTGCGCAAATATGAAAAAGTTTCTAAAGCAATGCTTTATATAAATACAGTGAATGAAAGAACTACATAGTTAGCAATCTAAAGTAAATGACTTGAACACTGTAATGTGCATATAATTGCCTTATTATTTTGGGCAGGTGAAGTAGAGTCTATCTTTAAGCCATTTTGTTAAAAGTGAACTGAAGTTATCTGATCAATGTTTTTATGTGTGTATTTTGTATGAATTCTGATTTTCAGCATATAAATATAACTAAGTAAGGGTAAGTAGAACTTGAAATACTTTAAAATTACAGTTAGCACATAGCTAGTGTAGTGTATTCTAGCAACAGACAGGTAACCTATGTCTGACTCAGCAAAATTTTACTTCAAGCAAAACTAGAACCAGAGTTGAAAAAATGAAAGACAGGTAGATCTATATTAAAATATGTTTAAAACAACAAGTAGGAGATTTGTTTGTACATTACATAAGAATACTGTTGTTAGTGTATCAAAACTAAAAGCCGGCAGATCGGGATGAAGAACATATAACATTGGAGTCAATGGGGGCAACGTGACCTACTTACGGTGACTACTTTCAAATGAGTATTTACTAATGTCAAAGTCAAAATATCCAAAAATAAATATCATTTCTATAAAAATGGGATGTATCTGCTTTGGAAACTTTCATTATCTAAATGGAAACTTTTCAAAAATCGCGTTTTTAAAGCATTTGAAGTTAACCTTTATACCGCGGTAAGACCAAAGCAGAGACAGCATGCAATCAGATCGCTAAGCCATCAAAACAACTGGAAAACCATTCTACTTTTCATTTAACATTAGGAAATGACCTTTTAAACTTAATTAATTACCATAAATTAAAAACTTATTAGTATGCAAAACTAAATCTCGTGCGCCCGGTATCAGAAAGTAATGGGAGATTTCAAATTTTATTAGAATAGACTTACCAGTTCTCGATAGTTTAGTTTTTTTCAAGCTAGGTTTGAGTTTGACAAGTCAAGGTGTCAATAGTTCTTGATCTAGAAATTAAATAACGCCGATCTAGCATTCCTATGCCAGTGTTAGCACCAACTAGCTTCAATATGAGTATTAGTAGGGTGGGTAGGGATAGAGATCCCTCGTTTGAATGAAATTGCATAAAATCCAAGTGGCAAGTTTTTTTTTTTGGGGGGGGGGGGGGTCAATTTAATTAAAGACGCATTACTAAAAGGTAAAAAATATTAGAGTAACTTACCAGCCCCGAACACCCTTAGCCCGAAACTGAGACTCCTTTCCGGTTCGAGACACCTAATTTCGTTTCAAATAGTAACAAAATTGGTTGTCTCGAACCGGAAAGGAGTCTCAGTTTCAGGAATGGTATTGTTACTCGGGAGAATGTTTACCCCAGTGACCAATAATGGAATCTTCTTTAAAAAGGGGTGTTAGGTTACTGGTTAACTAAATGCACACATGGCTGGCAAATGTCAATGCTAACCCTGTCCCTAACCCCAATACGCCTACCATACGCCTAACCCTAATTTCTAACTATAAGATTAGATTACAATACTACTAACAACCCAACACCCCTTTTTTTAAAGAAGATTCTATTATTGGACACCAGTATCTACAATCATCCGCATTTTTTAATAAACATTTTCTTTGGCATATCCCATTCAAAATGAGTTCATTTTTTTCTGAAAAAGAAAATTGCTTTAAAATGATGCTTTGGCGGGACTAGGCTTTGCTTGTCCTGGTAACATAAAAATGGCCGCTTACATGACGGTTTGCTTTCATTGCTCAAATCACACTGCAATGGATCAAAATTTGATGAGAATGGTCCTTTAAGTGGACATGTTTACTACCAATTTTATGTTTCTGTATAAAACATTCAAATGTTACTGTATTGGTTGCTCTAGAAATCACATTTTTAGCGACCAATGAATTATATAGGCCTAATTTTTCATTTAATTTAAAAGCTAGTTTCAATTTAAGATTGATCTTGAACATAACAGGTTCAGATCATTCTTGCTTAAAGCATTGATTACTGTACCTACATTTTAATACCATTTTTATATCAATTTATTTTGATTTTTTTTACTCAGTGGTTGCTGATTCCAAAATCAAAATAGTTGGCAATTTTCTGAAAATAGAATGTTTATTTTTCTCAATATAAACCTTTATTAATCAACATAATGAGAAGAAATTTAAAATATGTAGTTCTATAAAAAAAAAGTGGTAGGGTTTTTCTCAGCTGTATCCTATACATCTACTGAAAAGTAATGGGTTGTATACTCATGATACAGAGGCGGTTGGCAAAAAAAATTGGACTTCTAGGTTAAACATACTGGCCTGGTATTTAGTATGGCATTCTACAAATGTGTGGGTGATGAAAAGGATATTTAGGAAGTGCCGTCTGATTGACTGTGCAGATTATCCCATTCTGACACACTTTTTGATTACAGGGATGTGACTTTTCAGATTTTTAGCTGAAATTTTTTCAGCAGGTTTCCTTTCTCTAAATTTTCCCGCCTATTTTTGATTATTTTTCCCCGGTGTTTTGAACATTAGGGAATCACAGATCAAATGAACAATCGATTACATGCATTTCTTTTTGAATGACCAAAGCAATAGGTCTGACGTTGCTCGATTATATGTATGTCAAGATACAGAATTTTGGCAGATCTTCAAATTTTTCAGAGCGCATTTTCAGTTATTTTCGGTTAAATATTTATCCAAACATGGAAAAAATATTCTAAAATTATGCTGCTCTTCAAATGCAACTTACATCTCCCAAGCCTGGTTTGTTTACCATTAATCTTGCGTGCACGCTAGTCTAGCTAGACTAACTACCTTTTAACTCTCCCAAATCTAGTTTCTCTCTACTAGACTAACCTGCCCTATCCCTGTAGCAACGGTGGCTCTTTAAAAAAAAATAATTAAGATTCCTCTTTAGGCCTGACGATCCTTTGGGCAGATGAAGTGGAGTTCATATGATTCTTGACCTTGGCATATAAAGGGATAATGTGGTCAGCACTATGCCCAGCCGTCTTTACTTTTCCTAACGCGAGTTAGGTACCCATCAGAGCTGGGTGGACTCGGTAATGGTCTTAAACCCCCCCCCCCCCCCCCCCATCAGTTTCTTACTACTTTGTTGTACGACTATGTCGATGCCACAGCCGAGGCATGCTGATATAAAAACTAATGCAAACTCAGCGTGGCCCTGGCCATGTCTCGTTTGTGTGAGAAATAATACTATACCGAGTTTTTAGTAAGGGGTCTTCCATAAATTATGTCACACTCGTGGGAAGTTATAATGGGAAGCAGAATTTAGAGGAAAGTAAATAATAGAATTGATAGTTAATTTAGTAAATATTTAATTAGGCATGGTATGTAGAGGTGGGTATTTCTAAAGATGGGAATCGCTAGTAATAGGTATAGTAGTAAAGTGCTCCGCTTTTTTTCCATTGTGATGGTGCACATAATCCGTTAGCAGGGTTATGAATTTATTTTTGTTCAACTAAATGCAATAACGTATTCATTAAATCGGCGTCCATGCAGCCTCTGGAAATTCCTAATTGTAAAAACCTCCTGGAATTTCTCGAAATTTTGTGATCCGTGAAAATCCAACTGCTATTTTCGTTTGCAAAACATTGTTATAAAATGTTGCGATCTGTAAAGGACAAATATATCAGCAGAGTCCTGTTTGTGCCCAGCTTGTTTTAGGAAAAATTAAAATGACATCGCAGCCAATCTTAATAGCAGTGTTGTTCTTGCTGTGACATGCGCTCTAGGCCTACTATATTTCTGACCTCAAATGAACTCACTTTAACCTTTCTACCATTTCTTGTTTGGGGAATAATTGTAAAAGCAGTCTACTACTACTACAGGCTAAAAGCAATAAGAACAATGTGGCTTGTTTATTATCAAGGTGGTAATTTTTGGCTCCAATGTTTTTCAAGTAATTCCAAAACACTGTTTAAATCTTAAATATTTAGTAGACTCCCCTTCTAATTTAAGCTTATCTGGTCTAGGTCTATAACATATTCCATCACATGAACTAATTTTTTCAGGCTTAATGTTAAAAAATAATTGAAACCTTGTCCATCTTTAAGAATATTAAGACATTATCATTAGATTGATTACAAAGTGAGCAATTAGCTTTACATTAGTTAAATGTTGAATAAATGTTATTGTAAAATTTAATGGAAACCTTAAATTGTAATTAGAAAGGGCTTTCATTGTTAATTTAGAATAACAGAAACTTCTTTCAAGATATTCGTTATAATAAACTATGAATTGGTACAATAATAAGACTGCTTCAATTGCATATAAAAATAACATTAACTTGATTAACTGGGCTCAATCAACTTAATGTAAATGTGGCCATACAAATACAGATTTCTTAAATTTTAAAAATGTCCTGGAATGTACTTAAATCTCCTGGGAAAACTCATGGAATTAATTTTAGTTTTGGTGCATGAACCCTTTAATTAATGTATTGTCCATTTTACTTTTTTTCCCCCACGTTTTCTTTAACTTGCTTTCGCGTCTGTTTGTTTGTTTGGTTCTCCAATCAAATCTTGCAATCGAAATTTCGGGCACTTCCCAGTTAGCTAGCGCGCTGAAATTTTCAGGGAAGCTTGGTTTCCGATGACAATAGAATATTCAATTGTTATTATTACTAAATTGATCCATGGAAAATTTTTATTGATCATTTTAGGCCCCTATATATTTGTACAAAAAACGTGGGGGAAAAAAGGGACATAACCTAGTAATTGTAATTTGATGAAAACAAGGTTCGGTATTCTCCCTCTTTTGGCTTACTGAGTAGTGGTCACGCGGTGTTTGTGTACAAACAACGGTGAAAGAAACGGCAACACAGAAAAAAAGTGAATGCGAGAAGATAAAATCGATAGCAAGATTTGAATGCAAACAGACAAAGACTAAAAAGTAGAAAATAATTATCATTAAAAAAGTTTTTAAAAACCCACGGTTTCTGATTGAACTAAAAAGTAGAAAATAAAAGCTATACATAACAATAATGCAAGCGATCACTCTACTATAAGCGATGAAAAACGTGGGGCGCAGTGATTTTCTTACAGTTTTTAATACTGTTGACTCTCTACAAGCTCCCTAATAAAACTCAATAGTATTATCTAATCAATAGTAATATAACTTTTACATCTTATATTAACAATGACCGATAAAAAACTTTTACTTCAGTGCCCCACGTTTTTCATCGCTTATAGTAGAGTGATCGCTTGCATTATTGTGATGTATAGCTTTTATTTTCTTCTTTTTAGTTCAATCAGAAAACGTGGATTTTTTTTTAACTTTTTTAATGATAATTATTTAAATGTATGTTTGTTTTGATGAAAACTATTGTGAATCTGTTTAAAAGACCCATCTTAAAATTGTTATATTTTATAGAGTAGTGCCTCTTTCCATTGGGTCTGGTGGGGGAGAAATGCAACTCTGCCTGGAATTTTAAGTTAACCCACGAATACACCAAAACTACCTAACCATTGTATGCTACAGAAATAGGTTCACAGAGTGTCCAATTTAATTTTAAATACTTATTAGGCGGGAAGGGGATACCGATTACTTGTAATTTTAAAATTTTATTGATGTTTAAACATTTTAATGGTGAGCTTTAATTTTTTACATTTTTATTCAATTATTTTCAGCCTTACAACAGATTTGTTGAGATTGGCCGTGTGGCCTATGTTGCCCATGGAGATGATAAAGGCAAATTAGTTGCAATTGTTGATGTCATTGACCAAAACAGAGTAAGTGTTGGTCACTTTAGAAATTTAATTTTTGACCCCAGAATTTGGTATTTATTATTATAAAAATTGTTTTTAACCAGTTAAACATCAGAAGGGCATTATTTTGAAATACAGAAGCTAGAGAAAATACATTTCTTTAAAATGTGTACCTGTGTTGTGATACCCTCTAAACCTCCTACCTCCCACAGAAAATGGTACCATTTATGAATGACCACTGATTTATATTGATTGCTGATGCAGGTTTATAGTTGTGCTTTTATTTTAAAATAAAAAGCAATTCACTAAAACTAAATAGTTGTAATTTTAATTTGTCAGACTGCTAATGCAAAAATGTTTTTTTTTTCTAGGCTCTTGTAGATGGACCTTGCTCAGGTGTGGGTCGCAAAGATTTAAATTTTAAAGCACTCCATCTTACACAGTTTACAATTAACATTGGACCCTCTGCCAGGTCAGGAACAGTTAAGAAAGCCTGGGAGAAAGAAGAGATAACAAAGAAGTGGGAGCAATCCACCTGGGCCAAGAAACTAGCTACAGCTCAAAGGGTAATTTGTTTTAATCATTGGTTCCTCTTGCTTGATGATTTCAAATCATTTTGTCTATTTTATGTTAATGTACTCAGGTTTAGCACACTTTAAAAAAATGCTGCTACTATTAAAATCATTCATCTTTGGGTTTAAAATGTTCTTCAATACAGTTCCATTTAAATATTGCATTGTTATGAAGTGAGAGTTTTGTTTGCCAAAGAAGTTTTTTTTTTAAAGATGTAATTTGGCTTAACTGATTCTATACTTTGAAGAACCCCATATTGCAAATTTTAAACTCTAGGCTTCCTAATAAACACCATATTCACACATAAAAGTTAAGTCAAACCCATCTAGTATTTTTTTCAATTCTTGTATATACTAGAGTACATGTTTATTAGCAATTAAATTTAATGTATGGTTTACAATTTACAGAGGGCTGAATTGACTGATTTTGAGAGGTTCAAGCTAATGAAAGCAAAGCAGGCTGTGAGTAAAGTTTTACATATTGCATCATAAATAGGGTCCCTAAAATTTTGTAAAATGTCCCGAAATGTTACTTGTTTTAGTCTTGTTTTTTTTTTCTTCTGTTTTCCCCTTGCATTAAAGGTAATCATATATTACCGTCCTAGTATCCTGCTCACGTTTTTTTTTTTTCCATTCTCTGTGTACAGTTAAAACACTGCAAAATCTTTAAATTGTACATCTATAACTATAACTGACTTTAACCAGTGTTCCGGCAGGTTTTGTTTAATTTTCCTCCAAATACGGCTTACACATTCTTTTTCAGTTTTTAAATTGGAAAATTCATAGAGGCTTAACTTTCAGCCCAGCTAATTTGATTATATTGTCCGTATGGGCCCTAGATGTACTTTCTATTTACATGCATGTGGTAATAATAAAATTGCAGTTAGGCCATTCACTGTTGATGAATTCCATTTAAATCATGATAGGCCTATCTTGTCCATCTTTAAAAGATAAGACATGGTTTCAGCTGTTCTTTTTTTTTATGACTGACATTGTTAGGAAAGAGGCATACATTGCTGAGGTGGAGAGGGGTGTTAATTCACTTGACACCGGGATATGCCTATGATTTTGCTAGGTTCAATGTATCACAGTAGCTACTACTGTGTGCAGGATGAATTGTTGCTTTTTAAGTTTGGTTTAATTATGTCCTGGAATATCAGGTTCACTTTGGTGTAGGAACTCTGATCCATACAATGTCTAGAGAATTGCTATTTTTGGAAAAGACGTTTTAACAGCTAATTGTCCTTTGATTTATTTTTCTCAAATACTAGAAATGTCTCCCCACTTGTCATAGTTTTAAGTTTAAAAATCAATGTATTGACAATGACATCAATATCGTTGCCTAGTAGTATATCTGATGTAAATGTCCTGTGGGTCTGTTTACTAATTTACAGCCGACCTATTTAACACACACACCCAATCACGGGCAATGTATTTAGTGGAATTGAATCTTGTTAAAATTCTTTGGCTTCATTTCTAATGTAACTTGACCAATTTTGTGTAACGGTTTTTAATTTTTCAACAGTACATGATTATTTAATTTAAAAAAACCAGTGGTTTGAAGTCTTTTTTCCCCCCTCAGTTGGGAAGTAAAATAGTTTTGATGCCCTGGTCAGTAAAGGGTTAATAAAGGGGGTGAGCTAGTCTGAATAATATTACTCTTCTTTGGTAGTAATACAGTTACCAAACGGGTTGCTAAAAAGTGAAATTTCAAATGTGTTTATGATGAATTGGATTTTAGGAAGTGCCGTCTTACTGGCAGTGCTGATTATCCTTGTCTGACACACATTCACTGGCTGTGTTGTTGAACTAGTTGACACATTTTGTGGCCAACAACCAATCCTTGCATGATATCTGGATATTTGTTGTTATGATTACATTATGCAACATTTTAAAAACTTTCATTTCGTATATAACTCCCTATATTTTTTTCAGCGTAATCGCCTAATCAACATAGAATATGGTAAATTGAGGAAAGCAGAGCGCAAAGCCCCAGCTAAGCCCAAGAAGCTTAAAAAGAAGAAGACTGCCAAGAAGTAAACTGTTAGGGTCAAAAAATTGTAATTTAAGATTGCATTAAATTAAAGTTGATGGTAATTAGCCATGTTCTTTTTATATCTGTTATGGGTTTTATGTATGCTTATTGTAATTTGTTGGCATACATTATATATTATCAGCAATTTGCCTGACAGTACTGTGATTTAATTAATTGCTCTTCAAGCCAATATATGAATTGCATGAACAATAAAAACAAGTATTTCCTGCAAACACTGCGATCAAGTTTTTAAGCCTTGCTGACCTGTCTTCAAGAGATCCCGCTAGATTTAGGCTATCTTTTTGTGTATCCTGATCCCATGGAGCAAAAGAAGTGCTACCTAAACAATGCTGTAGTGTAGATTTTTATTGAATGCACTTGCTTCTCATTTAACAACCAAATTAGATTACTGTAGTTTATTTTTAAAATTTCCAGAATTCTTTAATACCATACCTAGTACAAATTTAGTTGAGTGATGGAATTCTACCTTAGACTTTTTCTGCACGTTTGATAAATCAAAATGCATTGAAGTAGACTACTGGCCTAAGTAAGAGAGCAATTTTCTTACTAGAGAATGAATGTGAGGAAATATTAAATTATTTTAGCTCATTACAAATGTTGCATTGAAAATGGTTTAATATTTTTAACTTCTACAATTCTAGTTCTAGGATGTAATGAAAACTGCTTATCAGAAAATTATCTTCTAAATGCAAATAAAAATGTAGAAAATAGTTTGCGCCATGCATTTTAAATAACGGGGAAATACTAATAGTAAGGTATTCTTTTATGACGAATATAACATGCATTTATTTAGAATGTAAAATTAAAATAGTTATGTAATGTAATTATGGAAAATCTTGTTTACCCACGTAACTGACATTTAATCTGATTCACATATTTTTTTAATACACTTGCTTAGCTTGCAATGTTTATGATAAGGGCATTATAAATTTGATACATATTATTTTAAATTTACTAAAAATGAAAGCTCTTCGGGTCAACATCGTGCATGGTCAAGTTTGGTAAAATAGGTCTTCTCAAAATTGCATTTAGTTTGCCATATCAACAAAGCACAACCAGTAAAGAGGAATAGTATGTAAATGTTTTTTTTAAATAGCATGACAGTTTACATTACAGTGATAATAAGTCTTCAAACAAATACACAAGGTATTGACACTCTTTAAAGCTGACACTTGACTTAAAAGTACTAGCTCTGATACCACAGTAGTTTGCCATGTGCTAACAGCAGCTAACACGATGATTTTAACTTATGCATGCTGGGATCAGTGTTATTTGACATTTTACTCTCCCCAGGGGATAAGTTTATATTTTCTATATAATTTAATATAAATTAAATTTCGGGGAGGGGGGGGTTGTTAGACTTCGCCCCCCCCCCCAAGTACCTTAAAAACTGCTCACAAGTGGTATATTAATACTCAATACATTACACCTTTGAACATTGTAATTTAATGTAATCTATCATTAAAACAGCTAGTCAAACACCTAGTAGAATTATTAACAAGTTTCGATGTCCATGGATAGGTTAGTATGATTACCTGGTAGTGGTCAGGTCGGTATGATCATCAGTGTGAAAAAGTCGTAGTGGACAGGTCAGTATGATCATCTGGTAGCGGATGGGTCATTGTGATCGGTTGGTAATCGGTGATAACTGAGAATTATTTCAACACGCCAGTATCTGACTATCCGTCGGTCCGTCCAAGGTTTAGCTAGATTTAGAAGCAAGAAGGAAATAGATGCGTGAATTGTTGGAGACTCCAAACATCGTGCATGTCTTAAGTCTTAAGTAGAGGCTACCACCACTGACTGCTTTGTGGGTCGGCCATTCGCCTCTAGTTGGCTTTATAAATATTTTATCTTTGCAAATATTTGTCTTGCTGCGAGCAACAAGAAACAATCGCAACTATTATTAATGAGAGAAAATCCAATTTAAAATACGTTATTTATTTATAGTCTATTTGTTGGGCCGAGGGATGGGGGGTGACCTCCCCTGAGACCAGACTGGGTTGGGGCTGCCAGGGAGGAGGCTGAGTTTTCTCTGTGCCCCGGGGGACTGTACCGGGGAGGAGAAGCTTTATCGATATCTCCTAGACTTTCATCCAACTTCCATTTTACCTCGGTATTTTTTCTTTGCATTTTTTTTCTAGTTTGTTTCCCTTACCCGCTGCTTCGGCTAAAAATACTTCGCATTATTTTCCCCAGGGGGTGGCGGGTTCGCTCCAATCAGGCGGCCGGGCTTCGGCTAAGCATAAAAGGTTGTCTCCCTGGGGAGTCCCCTCTTGGGTGTTGTTAGCTCTCTGCCAATCCAATATTCATTTTGTGACGTAGATCCCCGCCCCCCACCCCCGTTTCACCGACTCGCCCCATGCTGTGCTTTGCCTCTCCCCGCGAAGCTAGGGCTGGCTGAGAACATGTAGTTTGCTACTGGTGATGGCTTTCCTATTCGGCACTGGCTTCTGATTTGAGAGCACTGCCGCAGTAGGCCCGGACTGTGGCACTAGTGAAACTCACCCGCGGCGAATCGAGTGCGTCTCCTTTTAGTCTTCTTTATTCGATGTAACGGGAAAACTGATTCGGACTTGATCCTAGCTGACGATTGTGTTGGATTCATTAGTTTAAATCCTCGTCCCGCGTTGGATTGAGTGAAGGGTCTAATGTAAAGCACGTCTAGCGAACACTTCGATTACAGTGTTATAAACAGAGGCCGCTGGATATAAATTGTTTTCATTTCCAATTGAATCTGTCGAGGAGTTGTCTGCCCGTAGAGGTGCTCGTGAGGACCACAGGTCGAGGCAGACGCGAGAGTTCCTGGCATGGTTCACTGGGTGCGTTACTGCTGAGTCGTGTCGTCTGCTGTAGCTAGGAGGTGGAACTGTCATGTCACGTCGCAAGCAGGCAAGGCCAAAGTCCTGTAAATGTAAGTACGTGTGTAGTGGTCAACCCGTGGTTGGCACTTCTGTGTGGGATAGCCGTGGTCAACCCGAGGTTGGCACTTCTGTATGGGATAGCCAGTGTCAACCCGTGGTTGGCACTAAGATCTAGAGACTGATAAAGTGATAATAGTATGTCAATAAATAGCACTCCGACTTATGATACTAGCTGCAGCTAAACTGTCTACAGTTTGTAGTGTGTTGGAAGAGGGAGGGGTTGTAATTTTTTAAAAACACTCTCTAAGTGGGGAGTGACAGACAGACATGCATTTTTCTCTTCATAATGGTCGACTCATGGTGGTTGTGTTGTATCAAGATGGTTGTGTTGTATCAAGATGGTAGACTCGTGATGGTTGTGTTGTATCATGATAGTAGACTCGTGATGGTTGTGTTGTATCATGATGGTAGACTCGTGATGGTTGTGTTGTATATGATGGTAGACTCGTGATGGTTGTGTTGTATCATGATGGTAGACTCGTGATGGTTGTGTTGTATCATGATGGTAGACTCGTGATGGTTGTGTTGTATCAAGATGGTAGACTCGTGATGGTTGTGTTGTATCAAGATGGTAGACTCGTGATGGTTGTGTTGTATCATGATGGTAGACTCGTGATGGTTGTGTTGTATCAAGATGGTAGACTCGTGATGGTTGTGTTGTATCATGATGGTAGACTCATGATGGTTGTGTTGTATCAAGATGGTAGACTCGTGATGGTTGTGTTGTATCGTAATGGTTGTGTTGTATCATGATGGTAGACTCGTGATGGTTGTGTTGTATCAAGATGGTAGACTCGTGATGGTTGTGTTGTATCATGATGGTAGACTCGTGATGGTTGTGTTGTATCATGATGGTAGACTCGTGATGGTTGTGTTGTATCATGATGGTAGACTCGTGATGGTTGTGTTGTATCAAGATGGTAGACTCGTGAAGGTTGTGATGTATGTATATTTGTTAAATGTAATTAATAGGTGTATGTGTTGAATCTATTTGTTGGATCTATGTGTATTTGTTGGATGTGGGTGAATTTGTTGGATGTGGGTGAATTTGTTGGATGTGGGTGAATTTGTTGGATCTGGGTGAATTTGTTGGATCTGGGTGAATTTGTTGGATCTGCGTGAATTTGTTGGATGTGGGTGTATTTGTTGGATCTGGGTGAATTAGCTAGATGAACTAGCGAGAGTCTGATGGTGTAGGGGCTGACGCCTCCATCCCAAAAATGACATATGTCACAGTGTCACACACATACATATGTCACACTGTCACACGCTCAGCTGTCGCTATTGGCGACCCAAGCTTGGATAGCTTACAATTACAAGGTTTTTGGTTGCAGAATTTGGAATGTCATTAAAACATTCTTTCATTCTCATTAAAACTTTGACACACACACATACGCATATAACAGTTTATAAATGTGTTTGTGTGTTGTTTTTGGGTGTAGTTGTGGGATGTAGTTTTGTGATTGTTTGTTATATTAGTTGTGTATATTAGTTGTATATTGTAGGCCTATATTTGTTGGATGTAATTGCTTGATCCACTTGCACGTCGTATGCTGTGTCAACGTCCGATAGAGGAGCCGACAAGACGTCTATAAAACCACCACCCTGACAGTATTGATGTCTCGGTGAAAATCTATTTAAAAAACAACAACAAAACAAACAAGAACTTCAAAATGCAGTCTATTTATTTTTGACGATCGTTAGTCACGTGACCTATTGTAGTATAACTTGTCAAAGCGAGGCTGGGCGAGTCGCTGAGTGATGGCCATTCAAGTACATTATGGAAAAAAAATCAGAATCCATGATATTGATTTTCTCGACATTTTTAAAAGACTGAAATTTTTTATTGGATACAGACCTCTCAGCGTTTGTGTTCACGTGTTAAGCTAGGGAGATTTGGTTCTTTTATCAAACATTTGTGTTCACGTGTTAAGCTAGGGAGATTTGGTTCTTTTATCAAACATTTGTGTTCACGTGTTAAGCTAGGGAGATTTAGTTCTTTTATCTCTATAGGCCGGTATGGGAATCGCTGGCTGACTTTAAGGTTCGATCTACCTAATACACATTTGGGTAATAGTGTAATAGACTACAGTTATTAACAGCAAGGCAAAACGATGCTGGGTATGATCAATAGGTCCACTTGACATGGTTAGAGCTTAAGCACGTTTTGGGGTTGGGTATCGTACTTGGCGATACCGATTCAAGGAATCGAACAGCTGAACTCATTCTCATTGGTACAAGATTAATTAAGTTCATTAAAAAATTGAAATTTTTTAATTCTTTGGGTGTTATGCTTTAGAAAAGTATTCATGCTTTGGGTGTTATGCTTTAGAAAAGTATTCATGCTTTGGGTGTTATGCTTTAGAAAAGTATCCATGCATCAGGTGTCAGATTTGAGGCGCAACAAGTTCGTTTTTTTGGTGTGCGATCTTCATTTTCTACTGCAAGCCTTCACACACTAGATTGTCGATATTTTAACGTTTTCTCCTGCAAGATCTTGGCTCTCCATATTTTAACGTTTTCTCCTGCAATATCTTGGCTCTCGATATTTTAACGTTTTCTCCTGCAAGATCTTGGCTCTCGATATTTTAACGTTACAGTTTGACTATAAACAGTTCTAACACCACCTGCTGTAATCAACGACCAGCCATCCATTTGTCGATGACATACATTGATAGAATCATGAGCTTGTGGGCTTGGTTCGGTGGGCTTATAATCCATAGGGCAGTGGACTTACATACTTATGATCATGTAGTGGGCTGATGGTCTTAAGGGCTTATGATCTAGTCTTATTATCTTCTGTACGGTACTTATGTTTGTGTGGGCTTATGGTCAAGTAGGTATGTGATGTATGGGCTTAATAGATGGGGGGGGGGGGGTTATAATCTTGATATGTATTGATGTAAGCGATTGATATGTATTAATGTAAGCGAGGATAGAGTTTTGATGTAACCGAGGATATTGTTAATGTTATTATGTAAGTGTATTACACCCCAATAGCCCGAGTAGACTGGCCTGATCTCCCCATTGCCCCAGTAGACTGGCCTGATCTCCCCATTGCCCCAGTAGACTGGCCTGATCTCCCCATTGCCCCAGTAGACTGTACTGATCTCCCTATTGCCCCAGTAGACTGGCCTGATCTCCCCATTGCCCCAGTAGACTGTACTGATCTCCCCATTGCCCCAGTAGAATGACCTGATCTCCCCATTGCCCCAGTAGACTGGCCTGGTCTCCCCATTGCCCCAGTAGACTGGCCTGATCTCCCCATTGCCCCAGTAGACTGGCCTGATCTCCCCATTGCCCCAGTAGACTGGCCTGATCTCCCCATTGCCCCAGTAGACTGGCCTGATCTCCCCATTGCCCCAGTAGACTGGCCTGATCTCCCTATTGCCCCAGTAGACTGTACTGATCTCCCTATTGCCCCAGTAGACTGGCCTGATCTCCCCATTGCCCCAGTAGACTGGCCTGATCTCCCCATTGCCCCAGTAGAATGACCTGATCTCCCCATTGCCCCAGTAGACTGGCCTGGTCTCCCCATTGCCCCAGTAGACTGGCCTGATCTCCCCATTGCCCCAGTAGACTGGCCTGATCTCCCCATTGCCCCAGTAGACTGGCCTGATCTCCCCATTGCCCCAGTAGACTGGCCTGATCTCCCCATTGCCCCAGTAGACTGGCCTGATCTCCCCATTGCCCCAGTAGACTGTACTGATCTCCCTATTGCCCCAGTAGACTGGCCTGATCTCCCCATTGCCCCAGTAGACTGTACTGATCTCCCTATTGCCCCAGTAGACTGGCCTGATCTCCCCATTGCCCCAGTAGACTGGCCTGATCTCCCTATTGCCCCAGTAGACTGGCCTGATCTCCCCATTGCCCCAGTAGACTGGCCTGATCTCCCCATTGCCCCAGTAGACTGTCCTGATCTCCCCATTGCCCCAGTAGACTGTACTGATCTCCCCATTGCCCCAGTAGACTGGCCTGATCTCCCCATTGCCCCAGTAGACTGGCCTGATCTCCCCATTGCCCCAGTAGACTGGCCTGATCCAGACATTGGAGTTTATTCATCACGTGACCCGCCGTGTCATTGTCCCCGGCTCCCCAGGGACCGGCGTCTCCATGGCAACGGCTGGCAGGCTCCCCAGGGTTCCCTCCCTTCGCCCCGTGCTAGCTGGCTGTGTGACCTGTGACCTTCTCTTGGCGGGACCACATGTGCGTGCTTAGGCTCATTCAGCCCCAGGGGGTCAGTCTGACAAGGCTCAGGGTGGGAGGGGGAGGCGCGGCAGGGAACCGCTATGGGCTATTGGAAAAAGGTCTAGGCAGACTGGGCTATGTGAAAATGTTTGGTGGGGTCGATAAGCGCGGGCCGGGTGGTAAAACCCGCGAGATTTGGTGGGGCGGAATGGTGGGACCGAGAGCCGCCCTGCTGGGATTTGACCCAGGGAGAGCCGGGCCGGGAGCCGTGTGTGTATTGAACAACAAGTTGGCCGCCCCCCTGCTGTCTGCGGGCAGTACACGTTTGATCCTGCTCGCTTATCTCTCTCTCTCTATCTCCCCCTCTTAGCTTCCCTACGGTAAAAGTGCTGCCAAGTTTCAAACGGCTGTAGAGTGTCTCTTACATTCGCGCTAGACATTTTCATTGGAAAAACTAGCAATCTCAGAGGGTCAATGCTCTCTTTACAGTCAAGTCACTCTATCGGTACTCAAGAGTACTTTAGGTACTAGTCGTACCGTAGCCGACTTGAGGTACATGATACTGACTATGGGCACTCCTCGTGTAGTACAATATACGACGCTGTAAGTACTTCAGGTAACGTTGTACAGTGATGACATCATTCAGTAAACAAGCACACACTTTCTGTCTGCACATAATTACTTTAAGGTAAATACACTGGTCACTGTGCTAAGTTGACCACTATGGTATGTACGCTGTGCTAAGTTGACCACTATGGTATGTACGCTGTGCTAAGTTGACCACTATGGTATGTACGCTGTG